TTAATAGGCATTCTTACAATAAAGTTAGAATGTGGGTAGAATTAACGAAGACAAACAATCGATTCCAGACAGAGAAAAATAACTAGCTCTAAAAAGTTGAAGATACCTAATAAAAGCGAAGGAGTTGACCGGAATGCGCCATAATGGTTTACTTGGAATATTTGATAATTATAAGGAATAAAATAGCCATATCTGAGAACTTTCTGACCGATTAGGTGCAGTTTACGCTTTGACAATGAAGAGCCGACCCAGCTCTTTGAAACGTCAGCAGTTAAATAAACCTGTTCCGGAGAGCCAATTTTCTTCTTCTTATAATCTTCCCGGATCTCTAAACTTTTCCAATCAGAACACATTAAATCAAAAGCATAATAAATACTAGCAGGTACTTTATGCCAAACACATTTTTAAGTTAATAACTGCGGCATTTTCAGTTATGATTACAAAAAACACTCCTTTCTATGATTTTCTTTACAAAATCGTAAATTCAGCGGAATAAAATTCCTGAGAAAGTACAAACACTTCCTGCGCAGCACCTGCTTTACCGTATAAACAATTCAAATTCTCGGAAATTTCAGAGAAAATGCCTTGCTTTATACACCTTGACGAAATGTAAGAATAAAGTCAAAAAGGCAGTTCAAATATTTAGACAGAGACGTGTTCCTGCATCTTGAACTTCTTAACTAAAGCGACTTTAATTGTCAACCTAAACCCCTTTTTGAGTTAAAGACCACGCCTAACCACAAAATCTTGGTGATGTTGCCCATTTCCATGCAAACAAAGAATCTGTATGCGACCTTTTGACAAATATGTCCTTCTTTCCACAAACGGATGGTGTTGTAGAAGCGCAGCAACCAATTACCAAGAATAAATGATATTAACTACATATGTCATACAAAGATGTGAACTTATTTTTCATAGACAAATAAGACACAACCTACTGTCCTTCTTGAATGCAACGAAACAAACAGATACTTTGCGATCTAAGCCCTTTTATTTTGGCCTTCATATATAAAGAAAATGCGTTCTGTGACTGACGTGATTAGCAAGAAGTGCATAAGGTGCGAACTCCTTAAAAACGAGGAATTTTTACTTCACGACTTGCATCGCGTCAGCGAAAAACAACAGTGCAACAAGAACTAGAAGGGAGTATTTGAATGTTTCAAATGCTTTAAAGTGCGCAGTAGTCTCTGTTCCGTGCAAACATGCTACGTTTGACCTTCAGGAATTAACAGCAGCTTAATATGCGGACGGTTCAGTAAACACATGAAAATTGCGCGCATTGTTTCTTGCATTTAGGAATAACTTCAAAGCTAGGACGTAAGTAGCAAGCTTCAATTTTATAGGATTTTGGGGTACAAATTTCAAGAAGAATTCTGATTAAAACAGCAACTTTAAGACAAAATGTTATTTTACTAAATAAGATGCAAGAAATTTTATTTGTCACGGTGTAAATATATGTAGTACAATCAACAAGCTTGCCCTATTAGCTGAAATAGTTTAGATAAAATAAGCACATAATTTATAAATTTGTCAAAAATTTCATCAGTTTAAAAAGTGATGCCTTCTACTGCAAAGTTGTAGATTTGACAAAGTCTTTGCAGGCGTGGTAACATAAAATTAATGGCGTATATGCTGTATCTAATCGTCATAAGCTCTAATGGCCTTAAAAGGCAGTTTTCACTTAGCGCCCTTAAATGGTCTTTCGAGACAATATTTTTGCTTAATTTAAATAATTTGATTAGTTGAAGCCGTCCGAAGAAAAATACGGGGCCAAGCGTTGTGTGTAATCTGAAGACCCCACCGAGATCATTAAAAGATTCTGTTATCGATTGAGCTTACCCAGTAATGAGGCTGGTTTCTTTAGGACTAGACAGCAGATGAAAAGTAAACTCTTCTTGCATATCGGCTAGTTTTCATGACTTATATTGTGCGCGTCAATGCTTTATAAGATTCGGAGCATAGCTAATACATAGCAAAAACTCCATCTAACTTCACTAAACTTTCCTAGATCGTTGACCAAAAAGATTTGCAAAATGAAACATCCGACGATTGAATATATAATTGGAATTCAAAGCCCAATAAACAAAAACAAAAATATAAGTTTACATCCGTCACAACTACTTCTTACCACAATCGTTAAATGACATTACGCACAATGTCAGCAATGCCTGCAAATAAATTTTTAGCGATTGTCAATTTAACGATATTTTGACATGCGTCGAAAATCTTTTATCCATAGTAGGAGTCCTCTCAAAGCAGTGAATCATTACAAATCCCAAAAATCAAGAACCTTTTGTTTAACTTCATGTGAATTTGATAGATCTTTGCCTATCTTTGCTTGTTTGAAACAAGATGAAATCACCTATGACTTACGAAATTATTAGGACTGACAGTATTCTATTAAGGTACTTTCCTCCACGCGGCCCCAACAGAGAAGCTCATCTTTTTAGGTCCATGCTTTGATTTATCCAATTTTACCAAGTGGAACGTGTTCAAAGTCTTTTGTAAATACCTGTTTGTTGCCAAGAATCGCTAACGGATAATGAAAGATTTCAAAACACAAGTATTATGCCGGAATCTGTCACTACAAATAAGCTATTTAATTTATTCAGAATATAATGCGTAAGCATAACATAAATTTGTCAGGGAAACATCCTTACCCTCTGTTTATATTTGGTACGGATATCCGAGCCGAAGTTGGTCAGATTTTCCAGGCTTTTATTTATAATTCCTAACGATATTATAATAAATGAGTCAGAAAATGTCCCCAGAGAAGGGTCTTTACGTAGTCCTAACCACTGGTAACGTTAACAATTTAGTTTTTTTCAAAGGATGACAGAGTAGTGGCAAACATATTGGTTAGTATTTGTTATACTGATAGTCGTGGCTGCCTCTCAAAGATAATATCACACTGCTAGGCATGGAAATCCAAGCCCCAGGACAAACTGCAGCAAACGCTTTATATTTAAAATCGCTTGTCGTATCAGACCGCGGCTTAGTTGAATTGATTGGAGCCTCGAAATGACAACGGGTGATTTTTAGTTACTTGACAACTTATAAAAACATTATAGAGTTATTGATTTAATACGAAACATACTTTAGAAGAAGGAGTTTGGAAGAAAGACGAAAGTGTCCAAATCCATCCACTAACTACGTTTTTTATAGATTATGCAGTCAGGTATGCATATATTGTCTAAGACATTTGTTCGGTTTTGACCAGATTTGAATGAGACGTTATACGTATTTTCAGTTAGAGTCCATAAATTTTGTTAGTAAGATAAATTTAGCAATTTAGCCATTTTTCAGGGGACAGGACTTTTTCCGAAACGCGCTGCGCCGAAGATGCAAATGACGAACTCTGGATTTTGGCCATTTTGTCCCATTAATTTTGCTAACAGTTCTGTCATTAACGAAAGCTGATTAGCCATTGTAGGTCCGAAGACAATCCAAAAAATTCCTTTGAGGAAACACAACATGACGGACGTTAAGAAAGCATAAGTTATTGAAGTGCACTCACTCACTGGCATAGACAGCTGAATTCATTGGCGTCAGCAAAATTCGCGGCAGCTTATAAACTGCACCCCTTCGCCACATAGCATAGAAAGCGAAAAAAGACGTAGAGCAATTTATCTTGCTCAGAAAAAATGATGCAACTCCGAAAGTTAATCTATCAGTAAAGACTAATAACTTAAAAGCGCAGTTGAGGCATTAAAAAGTAGTAACTGTAAATAACTTAATTTTAAAACGAGATATGCCTTGTTTAGTTTCCGAGGAGATTAATGCGCGAACTTGGAATACATCTTTCTAAACGGGCCTTTTTGGGCACGATCCAAATTTTGATATGAATATTTGAGCTGATATCCATCAGCTACTGCAGAATAACCGCTTAATATTCACAAACCGCCAACAGGCAGCCAGTAGTATAGGACTGTGCAATGATTTACTGTACTAACAACACAGGTATTAGCTAAAAGCCCAGACACGCTTGTTTCGCCGATCTTATGCCGCTGCCTGATGCGGCTGCGATGAGTTCGGCTCGTCAGTGGGTCCCCCAGCTCTCTCCGTGTGTTTTCTGGTATAAGAACTCCAGTTTCAACTTGCCTTGTTTAATTTCCTCGGAAATTAAACAAGGCAAGTTAACTAAATCTGATAAACTTCTAAAAAACGCAAGTATAATGCGCCTAGGATTAACTCAGCCAAAAATAAAAGCGCAAACAGATGAGCGTAAAGCTTGGTCAAGTTCAATACACTTGCGACAATAATTCTCGAAAAAGGATCGGTTGAGTCGAGGATGATTGCTACATGCACGTACACTATAAACATCGGGTGCAAAATGCTGGAAGGCGGAAAATGTGGTAAAAGGTGCAAAATCAGTCTCCTGTAAATTTATTGTTGAATCTGCTACTTCACTTAGACCTGCGTTTGAAATTATTTACGTATGTTACACTCAAGTGGAGTCTTCTTTGCAAGACAAGAAAGAACTAAAGTGCAAATAAGTAAGTCTCAGCCCGGCAAATGAAGGATGATAAACGCATTTTCTATATATCTGTTTTCTGCTCTTAATGAAGTCCTTAAAGTAGGATAAATACATTTGATAGGCAGTCGTCTTGTCGTACAGCTTATAGTCAAGTTGGGTCTCTGCGGACAGATAATAAAAAATGTCTGTAAACTTTAACATTTAATTTTCCGAGTGTTATGATTTATATTTGCCGAATTCCGAGTTTCTTCTTTTGAAAGGACTTTCCAAATTTTGCAACTGCAGGCCGATGTAGACAGTAAGTGGCGTTAATATCATCCAATGGGGATGCGGCCGATACACGTTTTCTTAAGTTACTTGTCCTCGGCAGAACCAATCAAATTAACGTTCTGCATCCGATGTCTTTAGACCTGCGTTGTGGAATGGCCGTTCAACTAATGTAAACAACTGTCCAGCACTCGCACTTCCAGTACCAATTTTTGGTATCAATATGCCTAAATAAATCCACAAAAACGAGCTGGGAATGGGCAGCGTCGTTAAAGAAACGAGAGCCGCCAAACCCCTCTATTATTACAAACAGGACTGTGAACGCTTACTCAACCCCGAATTTTCTCCCGCAAAAACATTCCACACAGGCGTCCATACCTTGAAAAACTCGACTATGCAGTCATTTGTCAATCATGGGGGTGTGAGTGACTCCCCGTCACACCTTTATAATGGAAATGCGAAACCTCCTTCAAAACCACGCATCAACGCTCTCTTTGCTCTCAAAATACCGGAGGAGCGTACAAATGATGACCCAGCTTTCAGGTTTCCTCCTCCCAAACCTCTTCTTGATCCAGCGACGGGCGAAGTCCTCAATGACGTTATCTACGATACTCTCAAGGAGGCTGACTTCCCAGAAAGGCGAAAGGCTATGCAGGATATGCTAAAGAATGTACCACCTGTAGGAAGGGTTGAAGACCATAAGCATTTACAAGAAACTATGGTCCCACCTACTCCAGAACCTACAAAAAGAAGTGGGAAGGAGAGCGATGTCGAGACCTTAAGCGGGGTACACCCATATCCTCAGGAATTGCAGGATGGCAATCAAGAACAGGTGTCTTCTGTGCACTTGCCACTGTCCGCCGACTTGCCGAAACTTGATAGGAGGAGTGTCATCAAGGCAAACTTTCACAAGTCACTTCAGTACATAAAACATGCACTGACCTTCCTTATCTCGCATATTGGCCTTTCCTGCTTGGTTGTTGGCTACACCATTCTTGGAGCCTTGATGTTCTGTGCGATTGAGCGCGATGCCGAACGCAAAGTTAAAGAGGACATGATACAACGTCTAAATAAAACAGTGCAAGACTTGATGGAGCTTTGGTTATCCAGTTATTATAGACTGAAGGAGGAACTCGAAGTTATTCACAATCTTGTCAACAATTCTAGAATGTCTTCTAATGCGAGCATCGAAATTCCTCAAGCCCCCTCCATTAATACGTTTCTACGGGGTCTGGAGTGGTATGTACACGGACTAGAACTGTCTCGTGGAGTAATACCAAAACATTGGATCGACGATATTAGTTCAGATAACTCTACAGGCCCTCTAAGGGAGACGGCCGTACTCCAAAACACCACAACGCCTGTTGGCATTTTAGGTGGCACAGTCGAACCAAATTTCATTCCTACAGAGGTATCGTATGAGCATCTTCGCAATTACCTGGAGCAGGACACAAATTCTTCTTATCTCAACACCACTCTGTTAGCGGAAATTGTCAGAAAGAACACCAGCGACATAATATTGAATTACCTCGGACAGGTAGTTCATGCAATCAAGGACAGAGGATGGAATGGAGCAACGAACGTGGAAGATATAAACTGGACTTTCGAAGGCGGAGTCCTATTTGCAATTACTGTGATTACAACCATAGGTAAGTAAGATGCTCGATGCTAATTAAAGAGAAAAAGATGAAATTCAAACGGACTGATTTAGCTACTAGTAAAATTATTACATTCTTTTCCCTCTCCGACGTGAGCTTCTTAGTTTACAATTTGAAATGGGGGTAGATTCTATGATGATACTTCATCTTAGACCAGTCTAAAGCGAATATTCGAAGGAGTTCTAAAATTGCTTTTCACGCAACAGCATTTCAAAATATTCCGTCTTGTCTGAACACAGGAACCTGATGACGCTGTCTTTCAGGTTTTTGCATTTTTACTTCGGTCAATCTTAAGTCAATCACATTAGCATTAAGTTCCCTTGGACAGTGGAACTGTGTCCCAATAGGGTCACCATACTCAGAGTTCACTCCTCTCTACCAAAACGCAGGAAACAAGGACATCTCGGAACGATTAGAACACGAGTAGTTTGCAGTAGTTTTCAGGCTTTTACTTGCCCTACAAGTATTAGCGGTCAAAATGTTTGATAAACAACCAGTTGCCAATGGGAGGGAAGAGACGAGTCCCAGGAAGCAGTCTTGAAGAAGAAGAAGAAGAAGAAGACGCGATCGCCGGAACAAGAGCTTTATTAGCCTGACGTTTCGGATTCCTGCTCGAATCCATCATCAGAGACAAAGGCAGATAGGGCTGGTTCATGCATATGCGGCTGCAGTATTTATAAGATGCAGTAGCCATGCTACCACATACCTATGAATATTCATGGCTCCTCCCCTTTCATCAGGGACGACTGGTGGTCAGTTAATGAAACCGAAAGACCCACTGCCACGGCCAGAAATGTCTGGAGTCGTTTATCGGGTCTGATGCAGTTGCGGACAAAGCAACTACGTCGGAGAACCCGGAAGACAACTCCAAGCGCGAGTGGCCGAACACGCTGCAGCGGTGCGGAGAAATGACGCTAGCTCTCAAGTTGCGGCTCATTCGAGGGGTTCCGGCCACACAATCAAATTTGACGAGGCCGAAATTTTCGCAAGAGGTGACAACCGCGTGAGCCGGGAGCTGCTTGAGTCATGGTTTACTGGCTCCCAGTCTATCAACAAGTGCAATGATCTTCCCATCCAATACTCCGTACTGAGACTTCGTCTAGGCGGAGTAACTGGCCACGCGGGGAGCGCACAGGTGAACACTCTTCGCAACATCCGGTTCAGCGAGTCAGATGGTCGAGCAATCATCACACCAACATCCAACGCACGTGATGAAATTGCCGCAATTAACGACGCGAATGTCGGCCATCACGCCACGTGCAACAATCCCTGATGAAGGGGGGGGGAGGGGGAGCCGTGAATATTCATAGGTATGTGGTAGCATGGCTACTGCATCCTATAAATACTGCAGCCGCATATGCATGAACCACACTTATCTGCTTTTGTCTCTGATGATGGATTAGAGCAGGAATCCGAAACGTCAGGCTAATAATGCTCTTGTCCCGGCGATCGTGTCTTCTTCTTCAAAACCACCAGTTATTATTTGGACATACAGTTACTGGAGTAATTCGTGAAACATAGCGACCGAAATCTATTAAGTTGTTCGGAAAATACTGGCAGCCTTTTCGATGCGCTTTCAAATTTGAAAGTATGTGCAGTTCTTGCAGATTCTCCTATGAAGTTTTTCAATGTTTAAAGACTAATATGTACTTTTTATTAACCCTCCATATAAATTTTTCCAGAGTACAGTTTTAAAGCGCATAGGCCCCTAATAACGAAGTTAAAAAGGAAAAAAGTAGGTTTACCTTCTTCTGCGAATTGGAACTTGAGCATAATGCTTTCTAAAAGGCTGTCAATACCAGCAAATCATAGAAAAAGTGTTCACAAGTAAATAGACGGTACAGAGGTGGTGCCAGAAGTACGGCAGTTGCAATGAGAGCCTTGAAGATAAAAAGGACAGAGGTCGACATTTGCACTTGACAATGAACTGTGAAAGGAATTTCTGAAGGGAACTCACGTCAAAGTGTCGGCAAAATGTCTGAGGCACTTGATGTCAGTATTCCAACAGTGTCCGACAGTAAGATGTAAATTGGTAAGGAAAGAAAACTCGATAAAGAAATACCGCATACACTCAATGCGTTCGATGATATGTCTGCAAAACTAGTGATCCATTTCTTAGTCGAAGGACGACGCGTGACTAAAGGTAGACCCTTTATAATGACAGTAAGCTACTACAGCAACGGCTTGATCGCGACAATGCACTAAAGCCGAAACCGAAATCGCGTCAACAGAAGACAATAGTGGCAGCCGGGTAGTTTGCCATTTTTGACCGTTTCAGCGTTTTTGGAGACTAGCAAAAGCATAAGAGCGGAGGTTTACTGCAAACAACTGGCAGAAATAGACGTTCATTTAACACCAATGAAACCTGCACAAGTAAATTGTTGTGGACCAGTTCTGTCCTACGAAAACCCAGGATTGAAGGTTGCCAAAATAACACTACAAATCTCAATGACATGAAATATGAGATTTCGGTACATCTATCATATTATTCCGATCTGTCGCCCACTGTTTGCAAATTTTTCAAGCACCTGAACACTTGTTCAGCAACAAAAGTCTCAGGAGCAAGACTGAGATTGGAGCTGGATTTAAGGCTTTTCAGCAACAGAGCCAGTGGATGTTTACTGATGAGGCATAAGCCGTCATTTTTCTGATAGCATAGATTCCTAGCTGCTTAAAGATCACACCTTCATTAATTTTAACATACACAGTGGTGAATTATCTAGAAAGAACTTCTTGTTTCCGAAATCGACCCGTATTTTCCGAGCAATTAATAGATAATTGGTTACTGAGCAAAGTGGACGTTACACATTTTGTCTGCCCAATGCGTTGCGGTAAAACGTTCCTTGCGCAGGTTATGCTGATAAGATTTTATATCCGCTTAACTTTCAAATTTTGAGCAAATACTTGGCATTACTTTAGAGTGTGTCACTTTACTGTCAACAAATATCCTGAGATACATCTGCGCAACAAAGTGTGATTTTATATGTTAGAGGTCGTCGATCTAACTGTGAGACATTGACAGAAACAGACGTTGCTATCATGGACGGGGATTCCTACGATCGTGTAAGCGAGGTAAATTAGCGTGTCAACGTGTATGTTGTTTAAAAAAGTAGCTTTATGGTAACAATTCTGATTCTACAGTTGATGTACTGTTATGCCCTAGAACAGTAGTGTCATCCACACGCCATATATGTCTCAAAATGTTAATTTTTCAGGCATGCGTAGTCCTTTCATGAGTAGTTGCGAAAAGCCCACCAATTAGCGCTCATTCCAATTTCTGGGACAATGGTAAAATTTTTCCAATGCAGTTGCGACAATAACGTGCAATCTAGTTTCTTCTACTGCGTAATTTCAAACTAGAACGCATAACTACACTTATTTTGTAAGAATTTTACTTTTGATGCGTTCATTATGTGGCCTATTCATAGTTGCATGCGGTACGTAAAGCATGCAAACACGACAAAAAGAATTTGACTGAAAGGAACAGACATGGTTCTAGTTGGATTGACAATAAAGTTAGTAGCATTGTTTGGAGAGGGCACAAGCAGGTAAAATGTCTTAGACTTTGGCCTAACCTACCTGTGAAGCAAGACGGAATACGTGGATATTCGTCAATAAAATACCTTGAAAACCACTTTTTCCAACGACGGCTAATGAGAGGTTTACCAGTTTACCAAGAATATGCCAGTCACAAGCCTTCGTTCTGGAACTCAGTGTTTAAATTTAGTTTGGCGATGAAATTGTTGGAATTTTGGCGTAAGCCAGCGCTAGTGTATAACGTGTCACAGCTCTATAGTAACAGATATCTTGAAACATACGCGGGCATTGATTTGAACGGAAATGATTTATGCAGACAAGCTTTGCAAAGTTAAACCTTTTCGCTTTACATTGTAAATCAGGAGGGGCCAAACAAAATCAAACATGTATTGAAAGCATAGCAAAAATCTGTCCTATTCAAAAATATTATTTTTTAAATCTGTATAATTTTGTACCAAAGAGCCGCACTAACACTTACGGGCCAGAACGAATTTCAACAAGTCCGTAATTTCGTGGCATGTACAAACATTCCTTAAAGAAATATAAAAATGGCTGCCAGAATACAAACAATGTGAGCTTTAGGTATTATGAACTAGAAAAACATTTTAGTTCTTTAGTTACCATGCTGTAGGGTATTTGTAATCGTAGAAAGAGACTAAGAGAATGAAATCATAACACATATATTGCCATCATAAAAGTGAAGGTCGTTTTTTATGGTTGAACTCTCAGCAACTGTTAGCTAGGCAGAAAATTCAAAGACCCTACAAGTTTTTCTTGAAGGCTTCTCTGGATAATGGAAAAGGACGTGAACATTCATCGCGAAATAACTGAGAAAACCATTTGGGCAAATAAATTATAAGATACTTTTTATACTTTGGGGGCCTTTGCTGAAAAATGCTAGATTCTGGATGACTTGTCATCGGATTTGCGTAAAAGCTATAAAACGTTTCTCCTACTAGAGGTTTTAGCAACCAAAAATGATAGAATTTATCTTGTGCAATCGGCTAAGAATACCGACAATCGGGAACTGTTCACTGACGTTCCAAGGAAAACCCAAAAGTCGTCTTGCTCCATCGTCGCTGAAAAATTCATAGTAAATTAAGGGAAGGAAGTTTCATACTGTACGCTTAATATCTTTATGACTGCATCTGCTAATAAAACTCCAATTTTTCTGTAACTGAATGGCATCTTAATATCTGGTCCCATAAACATTGTTGCCTCTCTGGAGTCCATATTTGCGGCATCAAGGGGCGAAACTTTAATTTGTGGCTACAGTTGACTCGAATGGAATATGGACGATCTTTCACATCAACATGATGAAGCAAACAAAAACAGACAGTTTATTGACTGTCACGACTCAGATTATACTAATTAAATGAGGATATTTACGCATTCAACCTCAGGATTTCTTATAAAAATTTTCTTATGCCATTCTGGTAATTCAGTTACTGTCGTAGGCGGAGTTCTCTTACATACAAAAGCGCTCGTCTGTTCAAAATTTGAGCGATTTAATGAAATGTCAATTTCAAATCAATATTTATACATTCTCATTTAACCCAGGGTCGTTCATTGTTCATTTTTGCCAGTGTATGTGCTCAGTTTCCGCCTAACGGCATACGTCTAACGGAATTGCGCATGCTTTATCAGCTGCGTCACAATTTAAAGTCGAATTTCATTTCAAAACGCAATTAACTGCCTTCCGGCCAACTGACTTGCATGGTTGAACCTTCGTTTCTGCTTTTTGCTGCAGCAGAAAAATTACTAGATGATTTTTGGTGCAAGCAGTTGCCTGAGCTATATTTAAGCAGCAGTAGCATAAACCTGTTAAATTTTTGGCATATGAAAATGTTTTGTTTCGAATGAATGCACTACATGATAACTAAAAACCTGCCTTTTGCAAGATATTGCATTTTGTAAGGTAATCTCAACTCAATGGGACATATTTTGGACACATTTGCTTAGGATAATTTAACTTAATTATTGGAAGTCATGACGTTATGTGTGCCTGAAATGTTCGTATGTTCTATTGAAACATTTGTGCCTCAAAAATAAAAAGTCAGGCAAAAATTACGAATAAACCATAGTTCAAATGCACTGCTCAAATTGCTGGCATTATCCCTCTATTTCTATCTACTGAAAATTTGGTTTTTGTTTCAATAATATTCTTGTACTGACCATCCCTGATTAATGGGCTGGAGTAAAAGTTGATACTTTAAGAATATCTGAATGTCCTAATAATTTTTTTGGAATACTTTCGAAATTCGACCAAAAATTGGAAAAATTTGAAATATCTATGGATTAATTTACTGTCATTAAATAAGTCACGTATTTCAATCTTGGTAACTGCCGGTGATGTCTGCAGTATTGTACAAAATACCCAAAAAAGATACATGCCTTCGTTACTTTCGAAGTGTATAATTAAAGTAAAAGCTTCCTATTGTGGCCACTGATAAAAAATGCAGAAAGCAGCGGAGTTTTTACAAATATATGGCGCATCAAATAAACGTTTCATTGTTTTTCTTCGACCATTGAAAGTGCTTGACTTACATGCATGACGTCACACGATTTTGTAGTTATGGGAAACATGTAATGAGTCCGTCCCTTTATTACTTATCGTCATGGAACGCCTAATGTGAGTGCCTTACAATTCGACTCATTAATTAGGCCAATAGAAAATTCTTAATTCGACAACCGGCGTAACCTCAATTATTATTTTTTAAATATGGAAAATAAGAAAAAAATGAATGCACAAATTTGGGGCTCAGATGCGGTGAGAGAACGGTAAAATGAGCATCTTCGTGCGGAACACACTAATGTTAGCACGACCGGTAAAAATTTGCTGCCCTCTGTTGCCGGTGATATAATCGTTCTGAAGTGTCACATAAAATTCCAACCAAAATTAAATGGCTTGGTTCTAACAAAGAACAATAAGTTTCACTTTTTATTGGATATGTAATATAAGAGCCTTCTTTTAGAAAGATCCTAATTGGTGGCTTTGAATGTCCGTTGCAGACGTGATATTTGCTGACTAAAAGTTTCACCTTGTGTTTGTGAGAGTGCAAAAATTTGTTAATAAAACTGAATTTCTTAAGATTTTATTCTGGAGATAGTTCTTATGAAAATCTGAAAACGTTTTTATCATGAAAATATGTAATTGAAAAACTGAAACCAATCCAGACACAGTTCTTTACCGAATGCAAAGCCTTTCGGCCACTGGACACTTTTTAAAATGTGGCCATTTGGACCCATGAACAAGACAAAAGGACAGGAGCGGTCAAAAATGCGGGACGCTTTGTGTCAACGTCCATTGATATTGTAGTTAGGTTCAAGGTTATGGTTACGGTTAGGTTAAGGATAAGTTCAAGGATAGACTTAAAATTAAGGGTGAGGTAACTCAGGATTAGGTTTAGGATTAAAAAAAGCGACCAGTGTTAACTGTAGAATTATGGTTCAATTAGGGGCAGGGCTAAGATTAGGGCAAAGGTTTAGTTCTACATTAGGATCAGTATTGGAATTAGAACACGCAAATGTTTTTTCCTTACCGGAATTATGCGCGGGTCAACTTTTATCTCATAGGCGGGACGTTACTATTCTCATATCCTGCTTAGGGACCATATTCGTCAGTCGTACCTATAAGTATACTTAAGTATCTGCCTGCTTAATTTCAGCTTTTATAAATTGAAGATCATATAAAAACTTGCAGAGGGCTTGCTCTCTGCGTTACTGCCAAAAATGAAGCATTGGTTTATATGTACTGTGAAGAGTTATTTTTAGGGTATGCGCTTCTTTCCGAATTTAAAAATTTAAAAAAAATAGCATCATTTTTAAAGAATTAAAAAATAGTCAGTCAAATATGTTTTCTGGAAATGGTCAACTTATATTCTAAAATAAGTTTATTTAAAAGTGATGACCAAGGGCATCAAAAAAGAGTCGACTTTAGACACATCTGAAGCTGCGAGAAACTTAATATGTTTCTATCAAAACAAGTTGCAGACGTCAACTTATCACCCTATTATTTGTTTGTTGATGGAAGTATTTAGGGAAGCCGGACTTCAAAACAATTTTCAGAAAAGTAGAGAAAATATGCAAATAAAATAGGATTTACACGCAACGGATGCACGTGGCTTTAAAATGGCTAAGATGTGGTGTGTTGAGTACATAATACACACTCCAGAGAAGAGGAGAGTTAATAAAAAGAAATATGTAATATTGGAAAAGATCGCAAATAGGACAATCGGGGAAAAGAAGAAAATAGGATTTTTTCCAAAAATAATAAAAATATGAACTATGAATTTTTTTGAACGAACATTTACGATCTTCAAATTTTAACAATCAGCAAATAGTAGCAGAGGAGGAGACTATTCTAAACTCTGTTTCCTTTGAATATTAAGACCTGGTTAAATTTTCGTAATTGTTCACCTCAGAATGTCATGTATTTCAACAAAACTCCACAAGCCCTCGGCAAAATGCCCAGCCTCAATAGCACGGATATGTATTCGGTCTTGATCTGTGGAATGGGAATCTAAAAGGGAAAATAGCAATGCACAAGGCAGGTTTAACCTGGACAAGCTTCTGGAAATATACTTGGTTACAGAGAATAAGGAAAATTCTCTCTGCACAGCGGCACTTTAGTTTGACGGATATTGGTTCGTTATCGACTGGTGCGACATTGAGTGTCATTTAACAAAGTGAGAACAGTTTAGAGAACAAATCAAGTGCAAGGGTTTTAGGTTTAATTTAATAATCTCACGGTCATTTTCACGCATGGTTAAACTGGAAATGAGGAGAATGAAACTTCTGGCATGTGCATTATTAAACATCATCCTGCATCCTTGAAAGTCATGGTGTGTTCGTATCTTTTGCGCCGGCGGGTCCTATAATGGTCAGTCATGCCGTTGCTGTCATTTTTAAATATGTCTCCTTCGCAAAGTTACTTCCGGCTATCTAGTCAGTTAAATCGTCATTAGTTTCCGTCGTTTCACAATAGTTCTTTACGAAATTTGTATACATATATGTAGCCGCCCTACAACTACAACAGAAGCCATCGAAAATCACGAGGTAATATAGCGATATTTTCCAAGTATCGCGTGCCCGGTTTCTTAGCCATTCCTGAACGGACACTGTCTGGTCGTCGGACGGAACAATAAGTGCTTTTAAAACATCAATAATGCAGAAAAGTCTTCTAAGAGCAAAACACAATCTCATTCAAGCGTTTAAATTGTTTTAATTTTATCCAAATTTCTATTTATATACGGAGAGCTTTGTTTTTGTTATTTGATATCTTATTTAAAAGAATGATCCGGTGAAATTTAGTTTTTGCCTATGAAGAAGGCCTGATTATTGATATGGTTCACCAAATCGATTAGACGTTTATTAATAAGTTTGTTGAATGGGAAAATAAGAAACGGCTACATTTTTAACTTCTGTATCATTGTCTGATATCTATGGACCTGTTTGCTGAAGTAAAATGTCAGCTAGTTTTACTTGTATAACTTCCCAATGGTAACCAAAACTTACATTCTTATGGGCGATTTAGTCGAAATATCTTCGTGGTTTATTTTATAGCAAATCGTACACTAAGAAGAAAGAGGTCAGGTTGCTAGAGTAAGGATTCTATTCGTGGGACGTTCAGTGTTCATACTCGAACCCGGCACCATAGATAACATCATATAATAGTAATGGAAGTAAAACGATTCTGGTTTTTACGTCATCCTCACTAATTAACCACTTAAATTTCGAAAACATCGTTTCCCGTCTCCATCGACAATAGTGGCCTTTGGTGGAGTAGCTGATGGGCCTTCCGCATTCCAGTCGATAATTACATAAGCTTTGTCACCAGTTTTGTTATTTGGGTTGAAATTTACAGCATCCTACAAGTGCTTTAAAGTCGGTACGCCCATGGCCCTTACCCGTCGCATTTCCTGATAAGGCATCCGGGTGTGGATCCAAAAAATCGGACGAGTTGAGTATTTTTCTAGTGCTCGCAGACCATATGGCTCTACTGATTCCTGGTGTATACTATTTCGTTTCTGCAGAAAAACCTCCAATTCTTGTCTGGTTGCAGCTTTATAAAATAGGACATTCGCATTTCCAAAATGTGAAGAAATATGGCGAATGTTAATTGAATCTCCATCCTTCATTTTTATGATTTATTAAGAAGCACAACACTGAGTGAAGTAGGGCTTTGTTAAACTTATACATAAAGCCAAGGAGGCTTTTTGGTTTAAATCCGTTGGATTACATCTAGATATTGTGGCATAAGTAGAGACTTAGATAGTTATACCCGTATACAAGGTTATTAAAATATGCATCTGACAACAAAGCTTCCTATATGCATATCATAAAGCACGTAGGGCGTCTGTCTTCGTACTAGCTATAAGATCCCACACCGGCGGCGTTGCGTCGTTGCACAGGAAAAAAGCTCTAGACGGCTGAGGGCCAAGCAAGTAGTGAGGACTATAAAGATTACAACAACCTTTAAAATGACCATAGATTTTGGGTCGCATTTCGTAGCAGCAACTAAAGATTCGCATTTACCCTTCTTAAAATAATATTCAGGTTTTCTTTTTTATATTTTATGCGTTCGAATTTAGATTCCGGTGGGTAAATTGCTTACTTCTGCCAAGTTTATAATGGGCGCTTCATCTAGAAAACGTACTAAAACGTGAGAAGGTAAAATTCAGTTTCGAAAGTCTGAAATATAAGTTGTGGTCCAGAACGCGTTTTTGCTTTCTTACAAAGGCAAACGTGCTCCGCCAACGGAAGGGCAAAAACACCAAATAATCGATTGCTCTTGGGAAGGCGTCAAAAGCAAAAAGGCCTGAATAGCGAGAAATAATTATATGGGTTACCCTTTAAGGGGAGCCTACAGTAAAAATTAAGCAAAAATGTGGATAGGTTTGCCAAATTCCAGCGGTCAGCCAAGAATTTTGACATACATTGCAAGCTCTGCTAATAAAATAAATGGATGAATTCCGTGTGATAATTTGAAATTCCATGCAAACGTTTAGTGTTTCATGGACCGTATTAAGGCAACAAAAGTGGGTTTTTTATAGTAAGCAAGGGGACACTTTTTGATATATAAGGCGCTGGTTAATGTTCGGACTGACCAACAGAGAAGTGCGCAGTTTGCTGTCCCCGTAGTTCTCTCGGTAATTTTGCGTCGTGAAACCTTATGTTCCAGGATTCGAAAATAGGTAGAAGCCGAAGCGCAGAAAGCAGGTTTTTGTAAGTATACAACTGCACTGCCAGATGTAGTAAATGACCAGAAATCACACATTTCTGCGGCAACACAAAATAAATATAACGGTTCGTATTCCGGCATACAACAAGTAAATGATGCTAACGGTTACCCATATATCAATGTTCTATAAAATGACCTACTTCGCGCATAGTTAAAAATAAATGAGAAGACCGGAAGCAAATCCCTGGTATTTGATTTTTTATGAGGGGCTCCAAAGTCGAAAGGGACACTCGAGCAGTATTTAGACGGCCATAGCGAAAGAAACACGTAATGATCCAACCTACGAAATAATGCACAATATTGTTTTAAAATAGTAAGTGCATAATCTCCGGAAGTGGATTGTCTAACTGGCTCCCATTTTTTGTCAAATTAAATTATGATTATGATCAAACTCTCTGGCTATTTTCGAAGTCACACTAAGCACGAACATAAACTTGTGCGTTTATGTCGAACTTGTATAAATTTAAGGAATCCCGTATTTATTGCCGGCGCCAGCATATGAGAAATCCTTTAATTTACTAACCCGATCTCACTGAACTTCTGTCTCCAAGAGGATATTTTTTAAGTGTCTGCTAGTAGAAATGTTCAAGAGCCTTTTAAAGCGGAAAAGTGTTGTTCTTCAGGGGTTGTGTGGATGCAAATGCAAATACTTGTGTATGAGAAACATGAAACATTCCGCAAAATTCGGTCATTTAATGTAAATCGTTTTCCCACAAGACCTTTGCTCTCATAGCGATTCGTACTTTTCACATTTTATGCGCAGTTTTATGTGTATTTTACCGAATACTTTCAAATGATTTTCTGGTTTTTGATTCATAGAGGCATTTTGAAATTAGAAGGTATCGCTATACGCGCGACAAAGTGCAGTTAACATTATGGGCTTTATTGAATCCGTATTTTGAAAACTGAAGAAGGCATTAGAAGACAGGGCACTTAGCGCCCATATTTGCAGAGGTGGCTGAAATTAGCAATATTTAACGTCACATTGGATTGTTTTTTGTTCATTTTTGTGTGCAGCAGGAAAATGCAGGAAAATAAGCTAATGATAAGTCTGGATCATGCACTACTTGAATCACCTTTGTCTGATTCGCAGCACTGAAATGATTGATAACTATTAATTAATTCCTTTTGAAGTATGGTGGCTAAATAAACTAATAAGGAATCGTCGAAGCCATGAAACTGTCCAAATAATTTAGAAAGAAATAGGTTTTCAATAAAAATCTAAAGAAATACAGCACCATTGAATAATAAACTTAATCATTGTCCTTTTGACTATTTCTTAAATGTAGACAACATTATAACTATTCTTGGTTTCATTAGGGTTTGGGAAATTATTGCGCAAAAGTACGGGCTAAACTGCTGTCTTCTGCGAAATGAAAAAAGGATCTTTTAGAGAATTACGGAAAGTAAAGTTGGCATATGGTCATGAGTCAGGACGTTGTCCACCGACATAAAAACCGAATAATGATTAAAAAACGTAGCAACAAACTTAAAAGGATCCTTTTCATGTTGTCCGTGGACTTCGTCAAATTTAAAGTTGTTCTTAAAATAGTTGTGGGTCGTCTTCTGTTTTTAATGGGCCCAGTCAGACGCCGTCGAAGTCCTTTATAATAAATTGGACATTCAGGCTCCTTTGCTAGTAAAACCACCTTGGCGACAAGGGTTGCAGGAAATAGATTTTTGACGAAAAGAAAAACTTTTACAGTAGGCCGGCTTTTTGCAGTGTGCCTTACTATGATATTTCGAGGATGAACACTCATGCTTTGAAATTTTTGACAGGGTCAGAGAAAAAATTGTGAACTTGTTTCGCTCATGCTCTTGCCTCAATGACAAACGTGCTGTTCAAACATAAGAATAAACGCATTTTGTTCAGTTTTAGACGCTTGTCGAAAAGTATACGTAGTCTTGAAGCGTGCTCTGTAAATTTAAGGGCTTTATATACCTCATTAGTATATTCTTAAACATATTGCAGAAAATGCACGGATAATCCATGTTCCTTTTAAATTATGCAGTAGCTGAAAATAGTTGCAAAAAAGCATCTTTCTAAATATGTGAAAGGTAACTCACAATAGGCATCCCGTTTAAGTTAACGGTTACGTTCGCAATATTTTCGTGACCCAGAATTAGCTGTTTTATTCAGTTCAGTGACTGACGCTTGCGACTACCATCATTTTTTATGACAGAAGTAGCGCAGCTTTGAAATCACACTTTTGCTTGCCCAGAGCGCATTTACTTTTCTATTTGGGGCGGGCATATTGATATCCTGCCCCAAGAAATATACGCAGAGAAAATTTTTATTTTCAAATACGTGACAACTGCTTTGAAAAATTTTCTTATCATAATGAAGTCTCCCGAACGCAAAAACAACGGTTTGCTCTATAATGGAAGATAGAAAATGTATAGTTCTTGCAAAGCTTGGGGACCTTTTTCTCTGGATTTATTGTTTTTCGTTAAAATGCCTTCCTGGAAATATATTCCACACAATAAAAATGAATTTTACACATACACTAGGCTAAAAAGTAGAATTCGTGACGTCTGAACCATCCATCCGAACCAGTTAGGTGTACTTAAACTATGAAAACAGTTATTAATTGCGTGTAAATTTTTTTAAAGCATATAGCCGGATTGTAATTCATGCCTCCGGCTCCTTACACACTGGACGCCGGTTAAAAGTGGAAGTGCGCGTAATGTCCAACAAAGTTATACGGACCGTTTGCACATGCCCCATAGGACCTACTGACACCGAAAAATGGGCCCTCACACGTCGGGTGTAATAGCTCACCATTATGAAGGCACAGAAGCAAGTTATACTGTCAGCTGGTCTGCCCGATCTTTTTGTCTGAACCTTGGTAAGATCGAGCATCGTACTGTCGAGCCTCCGCCTACTGCATTCCATATACGCACACATACGTACTGACAATAGTTATCCCGTAATTACCTGGGTCGACAAATACCACTGAAGATTGATAGAAATAGCGCATGCAGATGCGATTGGAAGGATCCATTTGATGTCGGATTGTATGAAGATAATGAGGAGTTAGATAGCGAGTAATGTTGTAGGGATCGTTATCGCGCAGGTGCACGCGAGAGGGTGTGTTTAATAAATATAATGATGGTGTCTTATTACTCAGGGACCACGTTCGACATGTAAACATACTGATGCACCTGTTGATGCCTACCGAGGCAAGTCATGGTTTTAGACTGAGGCCGATTTTTAGGGGTTCCATTGGCAGGCTTAGGGTGCTGCCGACGTTTATCGGCGACCTCCTTCTATACGCTTGGTTTTGAGAATAAGTCAGTTTTGACGGTCTTTAACTATGTCTTCTGCTTCTATTTACTGTCTTCCGGTTTTTATTGTCAATTTAAAGGGATTTTGTAGACGCCCTGAAAGTATCCTTGTAGCATTGCTTGCTTTCGCCCTAATTGCATTCACACTTAGCGACGTCCTAACAGAGGATCCAATTCCGACTTTGTGTATCAGTGGTCTTGAGACTGTAACCATCCCAAAATGCATGGCGCTGTTTTAAAATGGCGTAGACGCTAAGTTTTTTTTTCAAGACATATTTCTTTCTCGACATTTCCCCGCGATTATAATTAAGTGCACTACCAGCCCTGACTCACGATAAACCGCCTTATAAGCTGAAACTCTATTTTATGGTCATTGAGAACCAACTGGTGGGTATTTAATGTAAACTTAATATGCATGCGCCTTCTTAGAAGCGAATTCCAACTCTTTTTGAAGCGCGCGAACCCTTGGGGAATGTACAACAAGGACTAGAGGGCTTCGGCTGAGCATGTAAATTAAAAAAATGCCCTGGACTCTTTATCTTTTAAGAAACTCTCAGTGCGTTTTAGTTATCCTACTTTTTCAAGAGCCGCCCGTCATCAATTCTACGCCTCTATCCATATACTTGTATCAGCAGTTTATTTCTGTGTTTGCCCTCACAACGATATTTTTGAGTTTAGATATAGGTTACGGAAACCGGATCTTATGGTCTTAGGAAGTATCCTGAGATCGAGGACTAAAACGTAAAAAGGTGTCCGTTTTGCTCTAGGAGGCTTTCGAGAACCATGGGGCGATCAATTTGGAAACAGTTAGACTGAGGAAAACTGAAGTGGCTAACAGTATTGCTGACAAAACTCTGAAAAGTTAACAGGAAGCTCCACCGCGATCTAAATTGAAGATCTTATCTCGTCATCTCTAAGGCAAACATTAGAATTCAATTTTTGACATATTAGGGGCATGTGTCGTCCTCAGTGACCTTGAAAATCTTTAGCTGTCCGACGGTCGGTAACGACTTGTGAATAATTATAGCACACAATTGCATTTTTAACCTGTGCAGAACGAATCGGTTTAAATTATCTGAATCCAAGTGGCCGAAATAATGCATTGGGTGTGACCTCATGATTAACTGAGCTCAACAATTGAAGTTCATTGGGTCTTTTGGCCTAATGTCACCGGAGAGGTGTGTTACTTCGTTCTAGTTGATTAACTTATGACCAATTTGTTAACAATGTTGGGAGATGCCCATAAAGTCTTCTTCAGTTGGCTTTTCGCTTAGTTGACTCACCAGTCAATTGAAAAATACTCCTATCATTTAAATTAAGATTGTAGTTTTTACTGCTCATTTGGAGTGAGTGACCGATCTTATGAAATGTTGGCTGAAATTCTGAAATGCATTTTCCGTCAGGAGGATTAACTAAGGGGCGGTTGTAATACAGATTATCTTGTGGTTTAATCCTATAATATTTCGGACTTGGCAGTATGTGAGCTTTTGAGTACCCTGCTTTTCAATCTTCTGTGGAAACCGTATTCGGCAAAAATTGACCGCTTAAGTAGCCGTCATTTTTACCATTGATTTTCGATGGTCTTGCAGATTCAAAATATTTAAGAGGAACCATCTTTACATTTTATTCTCAATGAAGGAGTATAATTCGGTTTTGAAAAACTTCCTCATTATGAGATTTTTTAATACCGTGCAATGTCTATTCATATAGCATCTAACCTGTAATTTTACCACTCCTCCGCATGAAATGAACAATATAGTCCGCACCCATTGCAAGATTTTATAAACGCTATATAAAATCGTTTTAAAGACATAGAAGAATATGTGATTTTCTTTACGAGAAAAAATGCAACTTGTAAAGTGAAATCACTTAGCGCTAGTGCAACGGCTGATCAGCTTCAGAATAATTGGCCTATTAGAAAACTTTTTTAAAAACCAAATTATACTCTTTTTTCAGGCATAAAATATAAAAATGACGTAATTCTCCGTCAAATGACTGAGAGAAAGTATATTTACTTTCGTGGTTTCTCTTAAATATCTTTGAATTGGCAAGGCCATTGAAAATCAATTGTAAAAGTGCCGGCTACTCAAGCGGTCAAGTTTTGTTGAGTTCGGTTTGCACAGAAGATTGAAAAGCAGTGTATTCAAAAGCTGACCTTCTGCCAAGTCCGAAATATTATAGGATTACACCACGAGATAATTCGTATTACAACCGCCCTATATTTATCCCTCCTGACCGAAAATGCATTTCAGAATTTCAGCCAACTTTTCATAAGATCGGTCACTCGCTGTAAATGACTTGCATGCATCCACATTAAAGTCATAATCCATAAAAAGGTGTTTACCTACACAATCAGGAATCCCTAATGACAACCGGTTGTTAAGAGCGGACTGCTGTCAACATAGGCATCGATGCTCCCAATGCAAAATTATTTGATTAGCACTGCACATAGCTTTGATTGAATTTCTATCAATTCTAATTATATCCTGTGACTACTACTTTTTTCGCGCGGCTGATTCTTCACTTTCTCCCTTTTAGGTTACGGCCACGTGACCCCACAGACTCAATATGGAAAACTTCTTACAATGCTCTACGCAGTCATAGGAATTCCTCTATTCTTCAGTTACCTTTCCACAAATGGTGATGCTATGGCCTCTGTTTTTCGCTTGGCCTACGCTCGAGGTTGTCGACCATTCTTTCGCATGCTCAAACGTCGTCATCGACGCAAGTCAGAAACGCAAAAGACTAATTTAGCTCATTCTGTCCAGTCTATTGTCTCCTTAGTCAACTTGGAGGGGAACAAAAACAACGCTCGAACCAAAGTCAGCGTCAATGGCACTGGCAGCCCAACAGGCTCCAGACTGCATCGAGTAGTCTCCTTTAATACCCTTGGAGAGTTCTCAGGGAAGCAGCCGATTATACAACTACGTCGAAATCAGTCAAACCTGTCAGATTGCAAAACAAGGAGAGAGATATCTGCTGGCAGTGAAAATGGCACGCAGACCATGCCCACTGTTTCTTCACTGAATGACATGCGGGCACAGCAACAACCGACTGGCTCTCTCAGTCGGTCAAGAAGCCAACAAGACTACTCCAGTGTCTCAATCAGCAATCGGAGAAAAAAGAAGAAATTTCGAACAGGACTTCTGGAGACACGACCGCCAGGAAACAACCCAAACGGGAGCGGGGAAGTGGGAGAATTACGGCAGCAGCAGTATCCGAGATCAGAGAGAAGTCGACTGGCAGTGAATGACTGCATCACTGTGACAGAGGACGCCCTTCTTTCCTGTCCGCCTTCTCGAGGAGATTCCTTACAATCTCGGAAATTTCCCGGCACTGTCAGCAACGGTAGTCCAGTACGCAAGTTGATTGTGCAACACACGTCCACCACTACAAATTCTGGAGCAGATGTGCAATCCCCCAGCCAGATAAACGTGCCTATCAGCCTAACCTTATGCATGATGACTATCTACATCCTCATTGGTGCTGTGGTCTTCTGCATTTGGGAATCTCGCGACTACGTCAAGTGGTCCTACTTCTGCTTTGTCACCCTTTCCACTATTGGATTTGGGGATATAGTGCCAGGTAAGCGTAAATTCTCATCCTAACTGAGAGATCATTTGCAAAAATTGCAGTTTACCATCCACTCTTTCGTCGTTTGGCTGATTTATTTTACTTTTTTCAAGCAAACTTTAGTCAGTGGAATCTTCCTGTCACATGTCTGCTAGTTTCGTAACACAGCATCTTTTAGTTCATAAATTATTTGGTCTGGAAACAGTGACCATTGGATAACCGCGTTGAATGACAGTGGTTCACCCATAAATGTTTAGCCCTCAAACCACTCTCGCCGAGATATTTATTTGCACTTTGCACTACCCATTTCACAAGGCAGTTAATGCACCCTTTCGTAGTCTTACCATCGTCCCTTCGCTTTCACGTCGTAAGAAACCTAGTCAGCCGTAAAGTAAATTCTACCACGCAGTCTTAAGCAGAATAAACTTTTGCCTAATAAAACTTCGGCCTTCTTTTGTTCGGTACCTGTCATGAATTTATCTGACAATGTTGGCGGACACCCTTCAGTTGAGATCTATTATCTTTGCCTGGAAAAGAGGAGAAGCCTTATTCTTAGTAGCACCTTTGGTAACTTGTGTATAACACGACCCGGGTGACGGATTGCAACGCAGAAGGGCAGGTCGAAGTAAAGGCGACCAAATAGAAAAGCCGCCCAATGCAACAAATAGGCACGTCGTGCGCATATTTTTTTACAAATTAGTATACATACACGCGGCATACATGAGGAGGATCCCGGCATAAACTTTGACATCAGTTAACTCCGAAGGACTGCGACCAATGCATAGACACATCATGTTGTAAATTATCTGCGAGGATTTATACGCCGAGTAACCCCCCCCCCCCTAATCAGCAAGTACACATGTTATGACTGCAATAAATGCGTGCTTGAGTGAATTCAGCAATCATCGGAGAAAGATGGATTTCTGAATTTTTGATTTCTGGCTGAGAAACTTCTGCATCCTTTTTTCAGTCTTGGATTGCCTGACACAGTGAGAGGTTCATTGAAAATGTTTTAAAATAGGGTTTTCATACCCATTCTCTTTCACAAATGGAAGCTATTGATCGAGATTGGGGTTTATATGCGACTGAGGAAGAAGAAGAAGAAGAAGATTGAGTGCTTGAAACAATTGCATCTTTGTCTAAGTTTTTGGACTCGTGCCAGAGTCTATCGTCAGGGATAAAAGCAGTAACAGAACAGGCGACGGTTATAGATGGTATGTGACAATCAATGATCAGCGACATAGGTTTTGAGGTAATCCTGTAGGCCTCTGTATAACGGCGCCAGTTCGATACATCGATTTAATGAGTTTTTATCCGAGTTGCAGACTTGGATCACCCCCTGGACCGCTACTACCTGATGTCTTCATGAGAAACTAGAAAAACCCCAGCTCTGCCCAATGATCAATAACCTTTATTCCTATGCTTGATATGTTGATGACATTTTAGCAATAGCGGATGAAAAGCCTGATTTGGACACCCTCTTGCATAAAGTGAGTCAGGCTCAGCCTGCGTTAACCTTCACTTTCGAAAAAAGAGAACGGAGAGCGCCTCTTCTTTCTCGACGTCCTACGCCATCAAATGCCGGATAAAAGAATTAGTAGAAGTGTGTTTCGCAAAAAACCATGGACAGGGCAATGCACAAATTTCTATAAATTTGTTTCGCTAAGCCAGAAACAAAGTTTCATCCGCTGCCTCGCCAATCGAGCTAGGAGAAGATGCGCTCCAGATAGACTTGAGAATGAGCTCGCCATTATACGAAACATTCTGTGGGAAAACGGCTACCCTGAAATTTTTATCAACACATATATGAAAGAACGCCCTCCTAAATCTGATGTGCCGACGGCTGAGAAGAAGGAATTATTCCTCGCACTGCCACTTGGAGGGGATCCGGGCGGGATAGTGGTTTAAACGCTGCTATCGTACGCACACACCCAGACGCTAAGATAAGACTGATTTTCGCAAGCACTTGATTCCTTCGCCTTTAAGGCAAGGATAAACAGCCTTTTCAGACTTCTTCAATTTGCATCTATACCTTCACTTGCTCCTGTGGGACAGGTTATATTGGTCGAACAACTAGGCGTCCATCTAAGCGGACGCGAGAACACCATCCTGTGTGGCTAAATTACGGTAAGGGAAAGTTATCTCGAGTTGTGGCTCACTTGGTTGACAGTGGCCACCGGGTAGACGTCGACCAAGCATTCCGAATCATCTATAAAGTATCGGGGAGACGCTCGAAGTTCCTGCGTCAGCGAATACTTGCGACGGCAGGAGCAGTGGCCATACGGTTAGCCAACCCGGCGGTGTGCTCGCATAAAGCGTTCGTACAGGCGCTACGGCTTCCGTGAGCAAAGACAAACCCAGCGTACGTTTTTAAACCCGCGACGTCGTGTTACAGCGATGAAACAAACACATCTAATCGCCAGACACCTTGTCTCTCCCCCTCTCCCTGCCTAAGCTCCAGACAGAACTAGAATCTGACCACTGACCTCTGAACGCCCCCAATCCTCTCCCTCTTATTGACTTTTATTGGATGTTTAACTTTTGTTATTCTGCCCACCCTTATATTACTGAACAGGCCTGATGAGGAATAAGCCCAGGGCTCTTGACCGGCCTTTCGTAACTCAGGTGGTTAGAGCGTTGGCTTATACTCCGATCGCGGGTTCGGATCCCATGATGGCCGCTTAGTCTCCTTCACCGAGGTCCTCATTTAAAGGTAGAATTCGTCCAGTAATATAAAAGAAGGAGCAAAAAATAGATAAGGGACTTGAATACCCATTGCTGTTCAATGTGTGCTCGTCCGTTAATTACGCACTATTTTGATTCAGAGCCGGGCTAAGTGGTTATCACTTAGTTGAGCCAAACTCTCCAGTACAGTGGGACAGATGAACCACCACTTTCAACAACTATCCTTCGTCTCGGCCTCCCCCAGAAGAGCCGCAGTAGTGAACCACGAATCCTTTTCTGGGGAAAAAAGATGATTTGTAAACAGGAGGAATCTTCGCTTTCAAAAATCTCCTTTTTGCCGTTTTTGTGCTTATACGCTGTCTAGCTCCTCTGTCTGTTTATTTTTCGGCTCTTGATGCTACGATAACATGTGGTATTTGAGTGCAAAGAAAATCATTTCCATTGCTGAGTGACGGCACCTTCAAAGTAACACGGAGCTTTGACAGTTTGCAGTCTGTATAAAATATTCTCCGTGGAATTTATGATAGAAAGATTAAAAATGAAAATTCTTAACTTTCAGATGCTTAATCATGCAAAATACTACGGCAAAGGTCAGCAAACCCTCTTAATTCTCACGCGATAAACTATCTGATATTCGTAAAAGGCTCTACTTAGGAAGGGACTGTGAGCAAGGGGCTGAACACAACGGACTTGGCCCTCGCCTTCTGATATCAAAGTAAACTGCCCTAAGTGAAACCCCCAGAAGTCAATGTGCTAAAGCTCCCTCTCTGGCCTCGGTTTCCTCTGCTGCTTAGAGCCCGTGAACGCACAGTTTTCGACGTGCAATGAAAAACCAACCGGTTTAGTCGTAACACCATTGTAGTGCTTTAGCACAACGCTTTGGTTCATCACATGTGATAAGCAGAAGCAGAATAATCGTTAGTCTATAGACGAGGCAGTGGTTCTGTGTACGAAACAAAACCCATGCACGGACGGCAATACCCTTTCGACTGGGAAGCAGAAAAGGCGTAAAAGTTGGCTCTCGTTAACCAAAGCAAGACAGCTGTCTGTAGAGGTAACGCCAGCATCCCATCACATCTTCAGCGTCCGGCGCCAGCACTGGACATATAGACCAGCCGAGGGGGGTAAAATTTCGTAGTGGCAACAAAATCTTCCCAAGAGCTCATTTGCAGCACACGTTTGGTTACGGAAACTCGCGTAAAAAGTGGATAGTAAAGAGTTTTAACGCACTCATTTGATGACAAAATATCCAAACGGCCCGATCTGACTGCAGAAGAAAAGAAGTTATTTTTAGATTATCTCCGAACGAAGTTCCTAAAGCAAATGCTGCTTAGTTAAAATTCAGCTCTACGATCTGACTTTATGTTTATTGGTATGCAAATTTGTTCTTTTTGACTCATGTGTTTTGCAACTTTAGGCTGGCCATAATAAGTCATTTCGGGAGCATTTGCTTTGAAATCCTCCCCCAGTAGGCTAAAAGTCCCCAATTCAGCAGGAATATGTGCATCTGTGGGTGGAGTTCCGACAAAGACTAGGGAGTGTGGGACGGCCTTTTCTGGCCTATTAGCCAGTCGACAGGAAAGCAGGCCCGTGGCCTACTGGAAGAACACTGAAATTAATAACGGCAGATGATCAAAGAACGCGGATTCGAATATCAAGTCCTAGAAACCCGGGTTCGGGTAAAGGTGGTTGAACCTTTCAGCACACTTACATTTGTCCTTTTCGGTTTTCTCTTTACTATTTTGTTATTGGTCGTTATGCGACTGCCTGAGGCGGGTCCCAGATTGAGCCCTAAGACGCCACGGGAAGGACATGTCTGTGGCCTGGCAGGTTAACACACGTCCAGCACATATATGCATATGTGTATACTTTGAAGGCTGACACGCTCTTTGGCAAAATATATAGAGCTTCATTAGGTAAACTTTCGACGCCGATTCCTAAGGTCGTCTCCAGACTTGAGTAAATGTGCAAAAAACAACTAATATTTCAAACGTGCTGAAAAATCAATTTTCATTTGGTGTTTGCGCCAGTAAGCGGCCGCCGTGTCCGTCATTCTGTATTGATTAGTTCTCGTCCCTTTCACTTCGCCTTGAGATTTCTGTACATGGCATCTAACTCAATGTGCTGATTTATGCATGCTTGATCGAAGTGCATAACTTCAACAAACTCTTGGTCTTTTTGGGGAGTGGAACTCTGATGAAGCTAGTTCTGTCCCATGCTAAGGTGTGCTCAGTATCAAGGGGATACAAATACATGACTAGATGCCCTCCAACCGCGGGGTTTTCGCCTAGGCCACTTCAGGCTTATCAATATCTGCCAACCCAGATAAAAGTTAATTTGTCCTGCACTGACCTCACAATCTGGTATTATTTTTATCAATTTAAATTCAGTAGTTTGAAGGAAGTATACTAGACTTTCAGATTTTTAAAGTACGTGTCCAACGATAAACGTTTTCCGTACTATGTTGACTTAAGTTTATTTTGGCAAAAAAGGGTCGCTTGAAAGCCACTGACAAGTTTTTGGACATTTTGGTACTAAATATACAGCACTACTTACACGTAAAATAGAAGGGAAGGATTCATAGCTAGCGTGCTAAATGTCAGTTCAACCCCCGAGTTCGACAATGTCAACCGTTTCTCACATCAGAGGGAGAGCAAGGACGGTGGTTTGCGCATGAATTAATTTGTAGTGATACTAAACTTGCGCAGCATTTACCGCCCTCTCTCCTCCCCAGTCTGGACCTACTGTCAAAACACAGTCAAAAAGATCAGAGGTAGGAGGGATGTAGATGTTGGCGCGACCAGAGCCGTCCCTATGCATGCCGACACACCGCGCCCGGACCCCAGAGAGTGGGAATCACATAAAGGTCACATTAAAAATGAGCCATTACAGCCTGACTTTCAGTCCACCAATCCGCCACTCCGCACGAAGACACACTGGAGCGACTGTGATGTCCGAGCTATTTCAGTCAGATGGCAACATTCCAAACCACAGCTTTCCGCTCACCGTGATAGCTTCAAGACCGTCATATTGTTTATAGGAAGGAAAATGCGCCGCGTAGTCAACCTCACTCTTTATTCCCATTCCCATACCCCAGCCACTGTCGAAGCCGGTCATTCTTCTGATGCGTGGAATGCGCGCAGAGCTAGAGAGCTCGTCTGCGCGTCACATTCACGACATGGCCTTCCAAACTTACGCACCAGGATTGTGTGAACCAGGGGGGATAGAACGCTCGGATCTCACATGCAATTAAGGAGTCACGCAGAGAAAGGAGAAGGCGGAAAGACAAACTTCTCACTTACATGAGAAGTGCCGGTGATGTGGGATTTCGGAGGGGTGTATGCGTGGTGCATGTGTTGATGGGGAAAGGTGTGGTAAATTGGTTTTGTCTGCGATGATTTACCGCCTGTTTTACTGAAGGTGCATGTGACCTAAGAGGACCATGCGGTGAGTATATGTGCGTGGATAGTATGAGCAGCTGAAGCAGATGCAGTGGTTGTACCTTGGTGCTCCTGGCACTGTCTTGTCAGTTGCTGTGCTATGGATTTGCAAGTGACCGACCAGGCCGATGCGCGGTGCACATGTGCGGTGGCAGCAAGGCCATCAGAGGCTCGGGGTTCTTGAATCGGATGGGTGACGAGGCTGTTAGTCGTGGTCACGCTGGTGGATGGATAATTGTTAGTGCCGGACATGGGAGCATTTTCGGCTATGTAGCGCGTGTCTGAGGCGTCGGTTGTTCGGTGACCTCCGCTTTCATGGATGCGCATGTGACCAAATAGGTTCAGGCGATGAGTAAATGTGCGTGTCCAGTGCAGGCAAAACAGGCGGGTGCGGTTGGTGTATGTCGGGACTCTGAGCACTGGTGCACCAATCACAATGCGATGACTTTGCGAGTGACCGACCACGCCGATGAGTGAAGTGAATGTGCGATCGCAATGAGGTTGGTACCGAATTCACATCGCTGGAGGTAGGGACACTGAGGATGAAAGTGTCGGTGTTGGTGGTCGACGGAGCTTCAGGAACGTCTTGGTCGGTGGCAGGCGTGATAGAGGTCGTTATGTTGGTCATCGCTGGGGTAATTGCGATAGAGATAGTGGAGGTAGCGGTGGCCGACGGTGGTAGGGCACGGTGATTGGGACCAACGGTGGTGAGGGGGACGCCGTCGTGGTCGGCGCGTGGGTTGGAGCAGGGGCAGTCGTCGGGAGGTCCGTGCATTAAGTCCACAGATGATCGATGAAGCCGATCCGCACGCGGAATGTTTGTTGACAGCGCGGGCACGTTTGGGTAGGGTTAAATAGCGATGTTGCGAATCAGGGATGCCTGAGACTTGTGAGCTTCTCTCTTGACCTTGGCGACGGCAATTCGATGTGATCAACCATGCTCAAGAGCGTCTATTATTCTTATGAAACTCCTTTGCCGGTGTGAGTAATTATCTAGAGTCGACATAAATAAGGTCAATAGGAATTAAATTTTGCCTTCCTGTCTGACCCGCCCCTATTAATGGGCAGTACTTGGAATCTCACCAGAATAACCACAGTGACGAATATTAGTCACACCCGAAACAGAAGGGTATTTAACTCAGTAAGCCAACGAGGTTGTCTTGTCGTAAGGTATAGCAGGCAACACCGCAAGTGGTCTACGACGTTCCGCAGTTTCGGTATTTTGGCAGTTTCGCCGTTTAACTACGTCTTAGACCCGTCGTTTGCGGCTGCTTTTTGTTTCAAACACGAAAAGAAGCCCTCGCAAGGACAAAAGGCAACAACAGAGCAAGGGGATTCTGCACACAATCAGGAAAAGAGGACATTTGTCTTTTGTCGGTCCGACGACTTTTCAAACCTCCCTGCTTCAAGCGACCACCCAAAACCGATTTTTTATGACCATCAGTTCACAGTACTTGTCCATCGACCTGCATTAAGCCGATAAGTATCGAAAGCCACAGAATGCTGCCTTCTTTTTATAGACAGCTTTAAAAATGGAATCAACAGCATATGACAAAACATGTTTTTTTGGGAAGACAATTAACATTTGCGCATTACAGTCGTAATGTTGTCTACTTATGGCATTTCCGATTAATAGGGATGACTGAAACAGCTTGTACTCAAATGTCTGGTAGAAAAAAAACAGTCAAAATATGATATGGACGATTCAGCAGTGTTTAAGAAGCCGTCGAACACCAAAACAAGAAAGTAAGAAAGTCGTGCTTATGTATGACCTTAGCTTTCATTGCCACCTGTGGAATCTTCGATTCCCGTGGATTTGCTTCTACTTTTTTTCAAAATGGAGACGAGCTCTTACAATTTTTGTGATTTCTTCCCACATAGTGTTCTCTTAAAATGTTGGCTTTAATACAAACTTGACTCAAGCAGCAAAAAGACAAATAATGAGGAATTAATAAAGGAAATAAAAGTTTTAAAGCGATAGTTTTGCGTGACTTCTCCTCTCGATTTAGGGGGATAGATTCTGGGAGAATAATTCATATTGACCCGACTGTGAATCTGGGAGAATAGTCATCTTCTTACGTATAGGTTACTAATAGTAACGAGGTAGAAATAAAACCAAATTTTTCGACTTTCGGTTATAGGCCCAGCTTGGAACTTATAGCTGATATTGTTGATGAAAGTCCCGATCTGTTGCTGATCAGAAATAATTTCTGTGTGGGCGTTTCCCTCCTATCGCTTATTTTAAATGCTACAGTTAGGTCTCAACCACTGTTTACCCTTCCACGTCTTTTCTCTTTTTAAGGCACAAAAATTGACTCGGAGAACCCATCTGAGAAGATGATTGTCCTCACCTTCTACGTAGCTTTAGGTCTTTCATTCTTCGCCATGTGTTTCAAACTGATGGAGGAGGAGGCGGTAAACAATCTGCGTCGGATAGGACAACGCCTGGGCATTCTTAGTCGACCAAGTCAGACTGAACCAGTCGTTGTGGCGCAGGTCATTCCCTTGTCCTCGCGCCGCCGATCGATCCTGCGTCTCTAAGGCTGTGACTGCAGATCGCGTCAGACGTGTAACGGGGATTTCGCACGCGCATCGACGTGGCTGGGTGCACACACACGGATGATCATGCGCCCGATCGTCCGGTCGGCGACGTCCCAAGTTCCGACGCAGCGTTCTGTGTGCTTCGAAGCACGCGCAACCATGAAGCATACTGCCGCGTCCAAATTTCGTCCGTCGCCATTTTGCAACAAAGACATGTCATTTTGTGAAAATATGTGCGTGTGCGGGTCTCTGCCGCATCTTTGCTGGCACACTTTGTGAAATAAACACGTTTTATGACGATGTCCAGCCTGCGTGGCCAAGAAAGTGGTTCCTGTCGACACTGCTAACCAGGGGAAAAAGCACTTAGAAGCAGAATAAGTTTTACAAATGTCTAAAAGTAAAGCTAAACTGGCAGCTACCAAGGTCAAAGACTTTACAAAATTAAATGTATATTTAAAGACTGACCATATTGAAATCTCAGTACATTTTCAGTACAAACTTGGCGAGGATAAGGATGTTTTTTTCAGTTTAGTTCAGTTCAGTTTTCCTCATAAAATATTTTCACTAGCACAAAAATCGTAAGTTCTTGCTGTATATTAAGTACTAGACTCCCATTACCAAAGCAGGTAAAAATCTTATCGTAATGACACCGGATGGAATAGTTTGATGTTCGAGGATTAAGAGCCTTGGAGGGTATTTAAGGTTGAAGTATTAGCATAAATAGAACTCTGCACAGATTAAATTGTCTCCTAAGTTTAAAGTTGTTCAAAAATTATTATATACGCTCCTGCAATTCTATTATTCCTGTTTTTGGATTGGCCGGTCAAAAATCTACAATATTACTTAAAGCGCATCAGTCTGTCATATCCAAACACATGTCGCAAACCAGAGGTTTTTGGACCATAGTGTTAAGTGACACGACACCCAAACTCCACAAATAACCTTATAGGTTGAGGGAAAATTACTGTGCGCAAACATAAGGCCTGCAATCAGCACCGAGTGTTTTCTTAGTTTTTCAGGTACAAATAGGAGACCTGAATCCGACATTTATGACAATCCTATTTTGTTCCATCTACAAGCGTTCCATATTCTCCTACGTATTTTAATGCTCATCAGACGGAAAGGCACTTTCTGAGTTTTTCGTACGTATGAGGCGACTGTGGTGCCTTTGCTCTCGGGCACAATGGAGTTGCGATTTGACTGCGGTAGACCGTTTACTTTTGCGGTGAGCTCAACTCGGCTGCGGTTTTCATGATCGAGAAAATTCGCGTTGCGATTAAATTTATAGGCGCCTGCTTTTTATGATTGACAACAGTTCATTAAAAGTAAATTTAATCCAGCAAGAAAATTCGTCCACTAGACATGCTTGCATTTCGTAAAATATATTTTTTCTCCTGAAGGACGAGCAACTGGAGCTGCGCTGCTTCTCGAATCATTTTAAGATTAAGGATCTGAGATATCCTTTAGGAGAGTGACAACATACTTCTTTCTCGCAAAAGTGGGACTGGGGCTTATTGACCCCAATCTGTTATGGCCAATAGGTAGATTTCTTAGGTTGACGCAATAAATCGCATCTCAAGTGGCACGCATGATGTCCTGGATGATTTATCTCCGACTCTGTCCTTAATAGGCAGAAGCTGGGTATGCAATGTAATTGTAGGTTTGTGGGCGATTGTGTTGGGAATTTTTTCAGGTGTCCCTACCCGTACACTCGAACACAAGTTGGTGGTTAGAAGATTAGACCGTCTATCCCAGGTGGGCTTGCACAGACTGGCTACCACACCCATTTGCATGAAAGAAGACCAGCATCATCTCGTCTGCCGGACGTAGAAAAACTATAAATCAGTAGAAGGAAGGCACACACGCGTGGCTTGCATTAGTAAGTTTATTCATTCAGATATACGCGGGTGGTCGGATGACTGACGACATAATTTCCAATGATGCAGCGACCTTGTACACTAAAGGGAGTGTTTTTCGGGGCTGCAAAGTGTGCTTTATCAGGATTTATACGTTAAGGCGTCCACTACCTTTGCCCTTACATATGAAGCCCGTTTTCATCTATCTCTATGGTTTATGTATTGGTTTATTTTACTGAAATTCTGCACAACTCAGTATTTAGACTTTGTTAGCATGTTCCGAGCCAAACGTTTTATTCCGACATCAAACTGAGGGCAGCGTTTCTTAGCATCTCACCGCCACACATGCTGGTACGTGCACAATTAGTCGTAGCACTTCGTCGGAGCATAATGAATCTGTACATCCACGTGACTCTTCTGTTTCGTATTCGCAGACTTGCATTCAAGCAGCCAAACTTCCGCATGACGCAGTTGAGGTGTTTCGCACTCTGAGCACCAAAGTTTGGTGCACATTTCTAGAGACAAGGGAGTTAATTGCTAGCAAAACTATCTAGACCGACGATGTCAGTTGGCAATAGAACCACTTGTGATCATGTTTAACGGTTGTCTAACATGCAGTCGAACAGATCAGAGTGGGGGCGGATTGCCTGCTTTCGCAGAAACGAAAAGCCCGGAATTTTATTGGTAAAAGGCATAGGCCATTTCCCGCTTTTCTTGTCCGATTTTCCAGCATTGCAAATAAAGAAACGCTGGAACTTACTAGAAGTCTCGGTTTCTCTTTGTCTGCAGGAGTTTCACTCTTAAGAAATGACCAACTTGGATCCACCTGAAGATCCAAACGCAAAGTGAAATTCCATTTAGCTAGGATGGTTTGCACCCTCAATTTTTAGGACCGATCTTTCTACAAGCTCAGTAGCAATTTCAAAATGGCAGAAAACTTTGGCACATTGAATCACCAGTTTTCAAGTATAACCATTGCGGACAAAAGTAGTAAATGCTGGCCGCACATGTTAATTTCTACATGAGCAGCTCGCTAGGAGTGCGGCAGGCCAGACGCAGACAGCTGTTTCACGGTCGTTACCGACCATCAGCACGTCATAGGCTTTTTTGCGACCGAAGATACCTGTTTGATCCCAGTTTTCTTTAACTCACCGCTTTCAAAGCCTACAATACTTCGAAAATCTCTACTTTGTCAAGCAAATCACTTTCAATATGAGTAAATTAAATGAGCAGTTTAGATAGGCCTTATTCAGAGGAGCTGCCATTTATAATGCCTAACGACTAGATCAGCAGGCTCATTACCACAAAGGAACGCTTTAATGTCCTCACAATATCCCTTGAACTTACACGTCCGTTTCGGCTCTGTTTTCGAATCAATTCAGTCAGTCAAGGTTTTCCTGATAATGTCAAATTAAACCCTGCTCACTGTCACACATTTAGCATGCGTACCTGTACGTCAGCCTCCTGGAAATAGTTTGATGATTTTTTCCAAATGTACTTTCAGATGGACATTCTCCCCAAATTTCTGGCCATCGTGAAGGCAAGCAATCACTAAATTCAAGTGAGGTCGACTCACTTAAGTGAACGGCTGGTGGAGGTCACAGAATTTATGTGCGAAAAGTACAAAGGTATTTAACCTTTTCGAGGACAAACGTAAATTCAAATAGTCACGCGCATACTTCCATTTTAAATACAAAGCAGTTGCTTAGGTTTAATCTGAATTATTTATTTCGATTGTTTCCCATGTGAAAATCCACCAAAACAAATTAGACACAAATTGATGTGCCTGCTTTCGTCTAAGGCAGAAGTCTTTTTATGCATATGCTGCTAATTCCCTTATGGCATGAATGTATATTGAGGGCACAGCTTTACTATACTTTTAAACACAGAGTCGCCACTTTGTATGCAACATAGGAAACTTCATTCCTGATGCATAGCTTACCACAAATAAGAATAAGTAAACAGCACATCTAGCAGACTTGGCCTAAAGTAAAACCCAAAAATAGCTTTAAGTAGTATGAAAATTTATCGTGTATTAGAGAACGTCCACCGAAAAGCGTAATTGCTTTGGCAATTCGGTTCATTTAAATTTCATTCAAGTACTTCTGTTCTCTTACGTTAATCCGACAGGGGGAACGGTTGAACTTTCCTTCCAGTTAGGGATCAGTAACGAATTCAGGGATACAGAAATAACCATTCTCAGCTTATTAGCTGTCAGTCGGCGAGGGATACGCCGACTTCATGTGCTGGAGGACCGACTTTAATAACCCGAGTACGCTGCGCGCAAGGCGATTAACTGACTGGAGTTCAGACCCCAGCTCAACCGCCATTGGGCCGCCTTTGATGACTTCGAATAAGGTCAAAATGGTTATCTCCCTTATCCTGCCTCGCTCAAGTAAATTCCCCAATTACCGCTGGCAGGTCGACATTCGACAGATTGGAAACGATACAGGGGTATACAATTCCGCCCTGCAATCAAGATAGATTGCTGCAGTGAAATGATTCTAGTTTCCAAAGGTTTAAGCAGTTTATCCTCGCAATGAACTTAAAACGATGTAAACAGCAGAATTTACTAGTGCCAAAAAATTTTTGCGTCAGCTCATCCACTGCTATCCGTCACTGCGTAACATAGATAACGAAAAAGCAATAGGAAAGAAAAGGGACTGGTTGAGAGAATAACGGCGACAACGGCAAGGCTACTATTCATTACACACAGCCAAATTAATAAAACTAGGTAACTTAAAGATGCTATGGAGAGAGGAAGAAGCTATCAAGCTTTTTGGAAGAGATTGCGGACGAGGTCCCGTGTCTTTTGTATAAGCACAAAGTTGAGGACCTACTAGTTACTATGAATAGCATGCATCTCGCCGTTAAATCAATGACTGAAAAGGAAGAGTGTACAAAGCTGTCTTTTCTGGACTTTATTGTGTTTTGATAAGAATAAGGGTTTAATCAGGAGAGAAGTCTGTCACAACAATACGTAGATAGGTCGATGTTTACATTTCTTGAATTTTCTTCCGCTACAAGGAAAACGGAACCTCACTTACACTCTCTTCCAGAAGGCGAAAAATATTTGTTCTGTTTATATACTGCAGTCAGAATTTGTCAATCTTAATGCATGTCTGTCTACGCGGACTATCCGGA